ACATTGTAAATAAATAACATTTAAAATAAATATCAAAATATTTAAAACATTTAAAAATCTGCATTGGGAACTTTTTTAAAGGCTGAAATATTAATAACTTCATTATGGTACCTGATTATTTCCAATAAATTTTAAAGTCACTGGGCAACAGTTATTAAAGTTGAYCTTAAATGCCATCCCCTTGAGCCAGATGTGTCATTACCCAAGGCAGTAGACTCACTACTATGCCAGGCAATCTCATTTAATGCAGTTTCCTCATCTTTATCTAAAGATATGTTTAAGGAAGATGAGTTTTGAAATTAGAGAAGGCAGTGCTGTTACTCCTTGTTATTTAGAATTAGGGTAAGTTTACTCTATGCTTCCCACACAGATAATTTGGAATTGAAAAGAGCTGTACCACAAAACATGAACAGCTTTTTCTGCTAGTTAGGATTTGAGATTTTGAGACCCTGCTACATAATGGAAGTAAAGCATGACCACATTACACATATTTAATATGTTCCAAGAACAAGAAAAAGCTATTATCTATGTGCCATTCTTTGGTGTTCACCAGCCTCCCACTGAAATAAATGGGTCACTGAAAGAAAGTCCTGTGGAGTCATTTTTAAAGGAAGCCTGCAATTTCAAGACAACTGAAGATCAGAACAAAGCCTAGTTCAAATTTTTACATTTACCTTTGTCAAAATGGAATAAATATAGCTGAGCTCATAAAGAAAACAAGAGATAGGCTCTCACARAGACTCTCTAATGTTCCTGCTTAGGAAAGTTCCCTACTATTGTGATTTCAAAGTTACATCCTTCAGCAAAATTGGAACATGAGCTTACAAACCCTTCCCTATTCACATCTCCATGCTTTCCACTGGCACAAGCTGTCACCAGCAGAAACACAGCTCAGGCATGTCTACAGTGCCCAGTGTTGACAAACACAAGCTCATTTTGCCTGTACATTCATTGGCTTTACACCAGCTGCTTTAGCTCAGTAGCTTGTGCACAGCTTATCGGCTCAAGCACAGTGCTGTGGGAGCACAGCTTCACAGCTTCCAGCCAGGCATGGCTGGAGTCCAAGGAGCTTGGAGCACAGGCAAAGAGTGTGGATCTGTCTAAAGCACTCTCACCATGGCAGATGGATGGAGTTACACACAAAGAAAACAGATTGCATTTGCTCCATTTATAGTATGTGCTTGTCATCCAGAAGACAAGATATACTGAGGTCATCACTAAAAAGAAGATGGTTGCCTACCACTGCCACACCATGAAATACAACAGCTCTTTTCCTATGTATTAAAATCTGAGATTACCAAAAGATACCACCATGTTGTAAATATTGGCCATAAAGGTTTTTTACAGCTCACTGTGCATATTTGTATTCCAGTAAATGCTAAGTTTACCATTCTTCTTGAGAAGCTGAACATTCGTCAGTTCCCTTTTAAACCCTGTGTTCTGTATTGTCTAGATACCACTCTAGATTCCGAAAATCTAACCTTTTACAACATCAATGTATTTTTATTGACAAGCTGCACATTCCCATTCCCAGGCTCTTCAAARAGTCTCTTTACTAAAATTCAGACAACACCAAGGCTCAGTGGTATGCCTCAACAGATCACTCTTGCTGTCAAAGGACTGCTGCGGAGGTCACCTCTGCTGGAGGCCAGAGTCAGTCTCCAATGCCAAACACTGCTGCTCAGCTCAGTCAAACATCCTATCCATTCCCACTATCGCGCTTGTTCCCTCACTAAGCCTGCAGGGAAAATTGCAGCTTTCCTCTGTGCCCATGTCTGAAGGTTTTAGCCTGTTCAGCTGCTGTAAAARAGCAGAAGTGGGAGAAAAGATTTTACTCCCACATCCTGCATTTGCTCTGATGATATGCTGCTTTGTCCCTCAGCTGTGCTGGCTTTATATATCACGGAAGGTACACAAAAAGGATTCTAAAAACAGCATAGAAATTTTGCAGTTGAATACATTGCTACAACTTACTAACCTTGYGTTGATATTTTTGTTGCAATAACTTGCAATTATACACACAGTTCTTTTAAGCAGATTTTATTAGCAACACATCCAATTTGACTAGATGTGCATTCTCCCTTCTCCCTCACCTCCCCACTCCCACTCCCATGTTCTGAATTAAAATATTGTAATTTACACTCTCTGGTATTTTGACTATGCTACCACTGTAATTTAGGTGTCTGACATGTCAATGTCATTCCTGCACTGAGCAAGACTGTGAATAATACTGTAGCACAATGTATTGACTATGCATAACACCTCCTTGACCCCAAATTTCAAAACACTTAAAACAAAAAGAAAAAAAGAYTAGAAGTCCATGAGTGACTTACTTTTGCATTCAGAGGGCACACAGACAATGCACTCCTAAAAAGCTGTTCTTCTGACCTCCACTGACTGCTGCGGAGCGCACAGCGCATGACATTTATCAGCAAGATTCCAAGCACTGCCACAGCGAGAATTTTCTTAAGGAAAGAGAGCCAAGTTAAGAAACAAATCATGCAATTGAAAGACTTCATCATCAACTTTACTGATTATTTTGATGGTACCTTTTTCTTGGCTTGCTTACTCAAGAGACTGAATCCATATGTAAAGAGAATACAATATCCAATACTGGGGAGGTAGATGACTCTCTCTGCAAYAACAAATCCCACTCGGAAGAACAGATTACTTGCAGGAAGAAAAGGGATAATAAGAAATCCAAGTCCCAGTGTAAGGATTCTGCAAACAAGAAACAGATTCTCAGATTAACCACAGATCTTAACGGACATATCTTTTCCACTTAACATATAAACTTTAAACATTGTAGAAGGATGTGCATATAGAACAGGGCATTCAAACACAGCTTCTGAGAGCCCCTAAGAAGATCAGATCAAAGTTCAGTGAGACATTTTTAAAAACATTGGTGTAATTTCCAGAAAAGCAATATTCATGCTTCCAGGCCAGAAAATAGCCCCATTACATATTAATTACATAACTCCTATTTAAAATAGGCAGGAAAAGTAATGGTAAAAGCTTCCTCTATTCTTGGAACTAGTACGACAGTAACGGGAAAAAACATAAGTCACTGTTAGGGAAGAAACTTAGGTGTACATTCAACTGAGAGGGTGGTTTTTCTCCTAAGAAACACATCAATAGTAGAATCCATTGTGGTTAACCACTTGGAAGTTAGTAATCTACACTCTTTCTACAGTCAGAAGAGACACACTTTTCAAGGGCCACTTGTTTTCCTTTTCTAGGCACAAATGCTAGCATCCTCAGCAGGTAACTCTTTATGGACTATACAGAGCTCAGAGGAATGACACTAGGCACCTCACTTTTACAGAGCTGACATAAGCGAATAAGAACCTCAGGTCCATGTCAGGTATTTCATACAAAGGCCACAGGCATGGTAATTTTCTATTTTAATTTATTACACTTTACTCTCTACACTATAAGGTAGATGTGTCGTCCTGCTYTTTTCTCATCCCCAAAAGTTCTAGGCCTTCAATATACTTTTTGTCTTCACTTTTTACTAAAAAAACTATTTAGTAATAAAGGTTGAGTGAGTGCATTTTTATTAKAAAGCATGACAACACTTGCAGCAAGAATTCCATCCTCTCTCCAAAAYGATTTATCTGTGCAAACAAGTAAGGCAGGAAGGTGCACTGTTTCCATCTCCAGAAAGAGCCTTAATGCCATCAGATGTTAACATCTGAAGGGACGAGAAGAAAGAAAAGAATAAGAAAAGATTTTGCACTCTGAACAATAGCATTACCCATGTCGGTGATAAAAGGAAGACTTTGGAAAACGTGGGCCCTCTCTGGAAACAAATGGGAAGCCTGGCTACCTGGGAGATGGAGACGCCTGAGGTATTCAACAATTTTTGGCCTCAATCTTCATCAGCAAGTGCTCCAACCACATCACTCAAATCACAGAAGGCAAAGGCAGAGACTGGGAGAATGAAGAAATGCCTGCTGTAGGAGAAGGTCAGGTTCAAGAACATCTGAGGGAGCTGAACGTGCACAGCTCCATGGGATCTGATAAAATGCACTTGCAGATCCCAAGGGAACTGATGGATGAAGTTGCTAAGACAGTGCTGAGCCCCTACCCATCCTACTTGAGAAGTCATGACAGTCCATTGAAGCTCCCACTGACTAGAAAAGGAGAGGCATAATGCTCATGTTTTAGATAGAGAAAAAGGGAGACACGGGAAACTAGGTCAGTAGGTCACCTCTGTGCCTGGCAAGATCATGGAGCAGATGCTCCTGGMAACTACGCTAAGGCACATGGAAAACAAGGAGGTGATTGGTGAAAGCCARTCTGGCTTCACTAAGGAAAAATTGTGGCTGACAAATTTTATGACCTTCTACAATGGAGCTACAGCACTGCTGGATAAAGGAAGAGCAACTGATGTCATCTACCTGGACTTGTGCAAAGCATTTGACACCGTCCAGCATGACATCCTCATCTCTAAATTGGAGACATGGATTTGACAGCTAGGCTCTTGGTGGATAAGGAAGTGGCTGGATGGTTGCAGTCAAAGAGTTGCAGTCAATGGCTCAGTGTCCAGAGTGCAGTGACTGCAGGTGTCCTCAAAGGCTGGCACTGGGACTGGCACTGTTTAACATCTTTGCCAATGACACGGACGGTGGGACTGAGAGCACYCTCAGCAAGTTTGCCCAGAACACTCAGCTGTGGAGGGAAGGGATGCCACCCAAGGGATCTGGATAGGATAGGTGGGCCGATGCAAACCTCATGAAGTCCAAGTGCRAGGTCTGGTACTTGGGTCAGGGCAATCCCAAGCACAAAGACAAGCTGGACAGAAATTGCGTGAAAGCAGCCCTGAGAAGAAGGACTTGGGGGTGTCCAATGATGAGAAGCTGAACATGACCCAGCAATGTGCACGCAGTGCAGAAAGCCAACCATAATCTGGGCTGCATCAAAGCAGCGTGGCCAGCAGGGCAAGGGAGGGGATCCTGTCCCTCTGCTCTCATGAGACCTGCCCTGGAGTGCTGCATCCAGCTCTGGGGCTCCAGGATAAGGAGGACATGGACCTCTTGCAGTGAGTCCAGAGGAGGGCCACGAAAATGAGCAGAAGGCTGGAGCATGTCTCCTAAGAAGACAGGCTGAGAGTTGGAGTTTTTATCCTGTGGAAGAGAAGSCTGCAGGGAGACCTTCCAGCAAYCTTCCAGTATCTAAAGAGGGCAACAAGAGAGCTGGAGAGAGCTTTTACAAAGGACATGTAGTGATAGTGCCCCATTCCTGAAAGTGTTGAAAGCCAGGATAGATGAGCTTTCAAGAAACCAGGAAGGTGTCCATGCCCATGGCCGAGGGACTGGAATTACCTGACCTTTACAGCTCTTTYCAACTCAAACCATTCTATGATTCTATGATTGAACAGTTGAAAAATTTTAAATTTAAATTTAAATTGAAGTCTACATAAAATCCATGGGAAGAGAACCTGCAAAGTTAAACAGAAGCCCTTAGTGAGAACAGTWTACAATATATTTTTTAGTTCCTTTGGGTAAAGTACAAATTATTTTCTGAGTAGTTAACTATGGGTCAAGCATTTTACTTTTACCTGTATGACCATGGCCAGTATTTCTACCTGCTTTCAAAGCACATCTCCTATCTTCTGTTATTAGGAGAAGATTAAAGGAAATGATAACTTGTTAGAAGTAAGGGTGACAACATACATAATTTCCTACTGTGTTTTGAGCACATATTACTTTTTACCTCCTACAGTGTTAATGATCTCAAAACACCATTTCAGGAGCAAAAATAAAGCAGCCATCCATACCTCCTCCTCCAACTCTGTTTCCCACTAGTTGGTGTACAGTGATGGGCCCAAATTGGGATAAAACTGTAATGACAGCTATAAATATTTATTTGAACTGCATTTGCTAGACACTGCTTCCACTGAATTGTTAAAATCATCAGTAGTAGATTTTACAAAATAATACTGTTCTCAAGTTGGCCAGGCATTTAAAATTCATCACTGTCTCTTACCTTCTCTTATGGCTGTCTTCTGAGCACAGAGCTTGGCATATCAGACCAATTAAGCAGAACCAAAGTGCTGCTAGTGCAATTATCCTCCAGTCGCTGACGGATTTAATGAGGGGTATGCAGCCCATTGACCAATCAAAACACAGCCACCAGGGACACAACAGCAACCATGCATTCAGTGAATAGTAGTAATTATAGTTTATAGCCTGTCAGTCAAAGAGAAAACAAACATTTATTTGATACTAAACTTGGTGGGGGAGGGGGGCAGCTTAAGTCCTCCTTCTCTCATTTCCCTTATCACAAAATAAAGAGGCCATAAACACTGTTAGACTACAACTATTTATATATCCATTACTATTACAGCCATGAAATTAATTTTAAATTTTCTTTTAAACATAGCTAGGTGGCTCTCTAGTTCAGAGCACAGAATGCAATTCTGTGCTGTCCAACCAATATTCATATATAAAAAGAACAATCTCCTACAACAGGAGAAAACATCAGAAGACATCACCCATAGTCTTCATCCTTCATTCTCCATCTCCAGAAAGAGCCTTAATGCCATCAGAGGTTTATAGCCAAGACATACTCCAATTCCACCAGAYAGAACTTTGTGCTATTTTCTTCAGTTGTGAAAGAAGATGAAAAGTCTAGCACAGTATGTGGAAAAGGGAGCAGCAATGAAAAAAAAATAGCAAAAGCTAATTTCTTGCATGTGTGGGAAAAATACTGAGTAAATGGAAAAGTACTTCCTTCAATGTGCACAGTGCATGCTAAAYTGAACGCAAAGAATATACAAGGTATATTTTTTTGAAAATTGCAGAAAATCAGCAGAGCAGCACAAGTGAAGGCGACTCATCACACACATCTTGAAACATAAAAACTGCCCACTTTATTGTTTCCTTGAAGCACAGAAAACTCAATTGTATGACAAAGACAAGTGTTCTGAGTTGGCCAGAAAAAAAGCAACTTCGTAACTTACTCTTACAAACAGACTGTCAGCAAATGAAGCTGGGTTGTCCACTTCAGTGAAAGCYGGTGGCCCTGTGCCCATAATCCTCCAGCGTATGTAAAGAATACCRACCCCTCCACACATCAGGAGAGTTATCCTGAAAAGCAGCCCCTTCCTCAGCAGCCCAGCATGCTACAGGAAAGAAAGAAAAACACACCTCATATAGAAACACRATTTGTTCTCTTACCCAAAGCATTCACATCCTTTTCAGCTCAGTCTCAGAAAGAAAAAGCCATGCCTGTGCATTTTTGATATTAGAGTTGACATTTTAACCAGAAAGTATATTTGCAAAAYATTTTAATTTCCTTCTCAATCAGGAAACAAAACTTTTTCATTCAAGAAGACTCTCCTCTACAAATCRTCTGTAATTCTATAGCTGATGTAATTTTACACAGCAATTTCTGAGAGGGAAATTGAGCAGAATACAGCTTTTAGTATACAGCATATTAAATTAATTTATYTTTTCTTTATAAAATGGGGGATGGTTACTTTGGAATTTAGTTTTAAATAACTATTTCCAGCTGACTGYGTGCCATGGAAAGTGTTTGTCCACTTTAGTATCTTTAGAGGTAAAATTAAATGCATATACCAAGAAAACTGCACAGTTAGGAACTGGGAGAAATTAGAAACGGAATYAAAATTTTCACACCCAAAAACATGATTAAAAAGCTAATGACAGCGAGGCACCCAAATCACTTACTTCAGGGTAAATTRCTCAAGATTTAATAAAAAAAGAAAAAAGATAGTGTTTGATCTAYATTAACTCAATTGATTTACATCACACATTTTATAATATACACTTTAGGGCATAAAGAAGGCAATTCACATAAAACACAAAGAAGTGATGGCATACATCCTAAATTCAACAGACTTTTACTTTTTTTCTCCAGGACGTACAACACATTTTCCCCAAGCACACATCATTTTCATAAACTTAAAAAACCCAAAAAACAACAATCCAAATCAAACCAAAAAGCAAAGCAGTGTATACAGCAGAGATTCTTCAAACTTCACCGGTGGAAAGAGAATCATCAGTAAGTATAACAATACACCAGTCACAGCTTTAAGATGGCACAATAATTATTATTATYTCTTAGTGGAATATGCTCTGTATCAAGGACCACCATAGTTATTTAGGAGACCAATGTTAGCTACATCAGAAGTTAAAAAAAAAAATAGGCTTCCTGCACAAACACAGACATCTAACAGTGCCCTGGGTGAAGATACTTATTTTCTAAAAGGATGRAGAAGTTAAATTAAAAAATAATATTCAGATTGCTTTTTAGTATTTCTAATTGACAAYGGAGTCTTGATAAAATATATCAGCTGAATGCCTAAGGATAAAGCAGTCTGTAAATTTGATTTTACATAAGCTAGCCTTTGTGCTCAAATGGTAGCTTCCAAMCTGACATCTCAGTAACCAAAGTCACTACAATGAGGATTTAGGAATGGTTTTCCTATAAAATAGCTTTTGGAAGGAAACTGTGCTATGAAAAAAACCCCATGTATAGTGAAAATTTATAAGTTCCTTATGACAGATTAACTATACAAAATCTCTTATCCCAGGCTTCATTTCATTTAAGAGTACATGCAGCTTCTTAAAGGCCAGATTTCACAAAATCTCTCAGTGGGCAGAATTTTGACAGTGGAAGAAATGTTATTGTATCCTCTCTGATTTAAAGCGAACTGAAATCTGGCATGAAACTGAAACCTGCCTCAATCAAAAAGAAAAAAAAGTGTTCTCACTCGCAGAGTTTTTAAGATCTGCCATTCAACAAAACAAAACAATCACAGAAACACTTTCTTAAAAAAGAGCAGAACAGAGTTTTGTAGGTAACAGAAGCTAAAATTAATTACATCTATCACAAGAATAAGAGGGAAAAGGCACATCTGATGTTTTCTTCACTGAGACTGAACTATTTAAAAGTCACAAAACAGAAGCATCATGCTCTGAGCTCTTCATGCTTAAAGACTAATCCTCCAAAAAGGTTTGACTCTGACACATTTCCCAGAATAAGAATGGTTTGGGCTGGAATGGATATCATGGATAGGGATATCCTTTGCTACACCAGTTTGTTCAAAGCCCTGTCAAATCTGGCCCTCAACACTTCCAGGGATGGGGTATCCACAACTTCTCTGGGTAACCTGTTCCAGTGCCTCACCACCCTCCTGGTAAAGAATTTATTACTGATCAAACACTGGAACAGGCTTCCTAGAGAGATMCTTCTCCATTCCAGAAGGCTCCTGAATTAGTCAGGCACAATCTGTCTTTGGTGAAGCTGTGTTGGCTGTCTCCAGTCACCTCCCTGTCATTTTGTGTTTTGACAAAACTTCCAGGAGGATCTGTTTGTTTCATGATCTTACTGATGTGAGGCTGACTGGCCACTTACGCCTGAGGTTCCACTTCTTACCTTTTGTTCCCAGCACTTAATTCTRGACTGGCTCTGCTTTAGTTCCCTACAGCTCTAGATGCTTCCCTTYTCATACTCTAGTTAACATTAGTCTCCTTATACAGCAAAACTCCTCAGCATTCCTGTTTGCTGCATGAAATACTCCTGTACTCCTCACTTAGCCCTTCTTGCTCAAATCTACTATTTCAGTTCTAGAGAAACTACTTTCCCTGGTTTTCCCCTGAAGCTCCTCATTTCATTCCTTGCAAAGGAATTTCAAAGCCCCATGAGACTTGTGCCACTCAGAAACATTAGTGAGACTCCTCTGCAGTGAAACCACTGACTGAAGCAAAGTATAAGGAAAATTCTTTTGCCTTGTTGAACATTGGATGAGAACATTGGATGCTGTTCAGCAGCAGTGATATTCTAGAGGGCTGTAGGTCTACTTGGATGGCATCCATCATTCATCTGAGGCTGATTGTTTCTGCTATTTGCTTGCCAGTGCAAACACTAGGTGCCAGATTCCACTTGAGACAATACCACATACAGCAACATCAATGAAARTCAGAAAATTCAATCCTTAGCAGCTATCACTGCTCACACGACTTTTTCTTTTAAACTCCAAAGCTACTAATACCCATTAACATGATATGTTTTTAATGTACTTTAAAAACGTCTGTTACTGAGAGTCTGAATAAATCACTCTCTCTCTTTATTCTGACCAAACTATTCTAAGTACCATTCCAGGTGTATAGTTACTGACCCTGGAGAACTTATTGCATCAAGCAGTCAGCTGTTCCCCACTTCAGGTTTAAAATATTGTTGAAAAATTTTTGAAGGGATTTCACTATCCAATGCAATTCTAACAATACTCCATTATTACCCACGTTGATGCAAAGATGTCACATTGCCTCACCAGGCTGACTAAGAGTACCTCTTTTGTTTGGTTGGCTTGGGGTTTTTTTTTTCCTAATTCTCAACAACAACAAAACTGTCAGAAGTTGAATCTTTGTCTTTTAGAACATGACTGTCTGAATAGCCACAATGAACAACACCTCTAAGAATGAACAAAACCTCCAATGACTCACCTCCAATGACTTGTCCTTAATAAACAGTAACTTTCGAATGAGCTCCAAAAGATTTATCTTGTTAATCACCAGTGCATCAAACACTGCATTCAAACCCTAAGCAACCAAGAGAAAAATAGCAGGATAAGATAAAGCAGCTAACCACAAATCTTTTCTTTTACATACATCTTMAATTGTACTTTTGCCTTGAATTACTGTACATCTTAATTCTGATTCCAAACAAGTAGAGAAATACAATGCTAGTAATGATGGCAGAATGGTAAATTGAGAACCTGAGCTCAGATGAGTAGAATAACATTTTACTGTGATAGGAACTCTCCTGCCACATGGAATAACTCTTCAGGGAATACCATGTACCAGCAAGCTAGATAAYATATGCATGGTCACAACAGAATTCTGCTCTCCATCTTCTTCCCCAAATGTTCTGCAGTGTAAATGCTGCAGGCAAAAGGTAAGGGTTCTGTCAGTAAGGTGGAGTTTCTTTAAGCCTTCTATTTATTTTTTTTTTTTTTGTATGGTATCTCTGGACTTCCAGGTTTCAGAAATTCTGTTTTTCAAGGGTACAGACAAAAGTTCAGAAAGATTTAACAGAGGTATCAGGCTTGCTTTTCTTGCAATTACAACAATATACACTGTGCAAGTTGCTGGGGAAAAAAAAAAAAAAAGAGAAGTTCCATGTGACATCCACTACAGGTAAAACTAGACCACATTCAGAGCTTTGCAGGACTACACTTGCATGTAACTACCTCCAAACAGGTAAACAAAATGTAGAAATGTATCCAGGGGTAATTCTGTTGAGAGTTACCAGCAAAATCAAACTTTAGCATTTCCTCTTCAAAGTTTCAACATATCATCATGATAATTCTTGAGTGTTTATCCCATATTCTAATAATTTCAGAAATTACATCACTGTTCTAAAGACTAAATGGAAAAAAGGCACTAAAACTAGTTCCAGGTGAAGCAAAGAGCTGGTACACTAGGAGGCCACAAGTCTCCCACCAACAGTCAAAGGGAAGGAARCAAAGATAGGTTGGAGCATGGCTTGGTTTCATGTAAAAAGGCCATTAAGCAGTTAAAAGGCTTTGGCTCACTCACATGGAGATAGGAAGGCAAGAATTCTACCAAAAAAATACATTCAGCCTCCAAGTAATCTCTTTAATGTGCTATTTACCCCTTTATCCCTCTGACCTGTGCCCCTTTGCACAAAAATAAATATAATCATCCCAGCAATGCAACAGCAAACAAATAAAAACCCAAATCCAATAATAATTCYGTGTCTGCTAGCTCAAATAATTGCTTCATGCTGCTAGAGTAAATAATTACATGTTTTAAGAGAATTCCTTATGTTTTCCTTACAGATGTCTTTGAAAAGCACATCACTCTATAAATATCTATCAAAAAATAATGTTCTAAAGCAAGAAGTTTTCTGTAATTTCTTTTCCCTTTACTTCTAGCAAGAACAAAATGGTCCTTGATGCAAGGAATTTTCTGATTCTGTTGCATATCTATGTCAGCTAAAGCTAAGAATAGAATTTATTATAAGGATCTATGGCTATATAAAAGGTAAAAATCACAGACACAGCATTTCAGGTGGCCAGTTTTGTCACCCAAAACAGAATTGTCTTCACTGAAGTTATAAAAAGCCAGAACACAATGAACATGAACAATAACTAAATCTGCTTCCATCTGATTTTTAAATAAGGGACAAAAGGAAGAGATTCAGTATTAGAAGGGCATAAACAATGGCCCTAATCATAATTACACTGCTCACAAAAGCAAGGGGGTGGAGCTTTTGAAAATGCCTTCAGTTATGTCTTTGTTCATAAGCCTTCAATGAGAAGTTTGTAGCATTGCTATCTCAAGAACTACATTCAAAAACAAGGGCAACAAAAGTGAAACTAACACTTTAAAACCTTTAAACTTTGTGAAAATATATGCAACCTGCTTACAAAAGTTGAAGTGAAAAACTCTAGCAGATTGGCAGGGATACAATCAAGACATCTACTAGAATACYGCTTTTCATCAACATTAACTAGTTTTCTGAACAGAACAAAAAGCTGTGAAATGTCATTAGCTGTGGAGAAGATTTATCTTTGCAGACTTTACAACTACACCTGACAGATGTTGAGGTCAAAATGCAGTTAATAAGAGAATTCTTACCAGTATTGTAATTCCTTGTTCTTTGCACAGCATTGCTATTGCACCTAGGATAACACTCACCAGCACCCAGAATACAGAAAATGTATGTCCTTCCTTATCTGTCAAAATAAAGCATGCATAGCTTTAGGCATTTGATACTCAAAGGTAAAGTTAGAAATCTAAATTAAAATAAGGATTAAAAAAAATAAACAGCATTTAGAATTTCAATCTTTTTTATCAGTCAAGATCTGAATACACAGACTTCAAAAGCATAGAGCACCTCCTGCAATATGCTGGCATTTGTCCCTTTATGGCAGTCATTTTTTGTTCTTGGAGACATTAGCAATCTCCCTACTTGCTAGATGTTTTAGCCAGATTAATTAGAATGGCAGAAGCTTCACATAGTTTTCACAATTCATCATCTGCAAAGGTTAATTCCCAATATTTAGAGACATTTATCATCCTTAGCTAGAGCTCTGTCATTACTGGCCACCGTCCACCAAGCTACCACAAGAAGAAGAAATTCTTTACAATTGCTACTCATGAAGTGCCACACACAYAAACTGTTTTAACTGCAGTCTGGTCTACAAAGGCACAATGAGCTGCTTCTCCAGGGCTGCTGCATTTAGCAAGTACCTCCTATCATTTTATTATCACTGCAATAGAATGCCATGGAGCTCAAAAATGTCAGCATCTGAGCAGAAGCAGTTGGTCCTCACACTCAGGAAGCAGTTTTACAGCAGGGTGAGGAACTCTGGGGTTAAAAGATCAAGAGCAGCTACAGATTTTACTCAAAGATAAAATCTTTAAAGACTGCACCAAGTAGCTGGTGCTGGGTACTACAGGCAGGCATATCTGAGATGAATATAACAATAAATCCCTCTTCAGCCAAGGTACTATCACACACAGAATACACAGGTACTTCACATAAAAACATATCTGGCACAACCTCTACTCCATAGTTGCAAGCAACAGAGGGAAGCACTGCTCATGCAGAGGCAGTTTCTCGATTCAAGTAACATGGGCTYTACAGGCACCACAAGAATCAATCTTTGACTTGGCATGTGAAAAGACAAAGTTGAACTCTACATTCATTGACTGAATCCCTTTCCTACGTTCCCTGATCTCTAGAGCAGCTCTTCTCTACTACGAATGCAGGTTTGACCCACAGTGCATAAAGAGAACTGCAGAAACAATCTATGAAAAGGGTAAATGGCAGGATTAAGATTAATTTCACCACAAGCAGGTACCTACACCTGAGCTAGTACACTAGGCTTCCTTTATAACTGGTCAGGAAAAGAGGACACCTTTAGGGATTTAGGTACCTAATTAGATGCAGTTGAACACCCTTCAGAGCAGTAACTGCACTGATTACACARGGAAACCAATACACAGCCTCAGATGGTGTTGGGGTCACATACAAACCATAACCACGAGTGCGAAAAGAATCTGCTGACATTGGCCTCCTCTTTCATTTTGAACCAGGCTACTTCTTTTGTGGCAGAGAGCAGAAAATTTCATAAAAATATGTGGAGACAGGTTTGAGGTTATTTCTAACACTCCTTTCTTACCTAAGACTTCTAATGCTTCAGCAGTGTGAATACTAAGATGTTCAAGATTTATCTTTGCAATACACAGAAGGCATTTGATCCTTCTTCCTCCATTCTAAATTATGTCTCCAGAGGTGAGGTAAGACTAAACATTAGAGGTGGCGATGTTATAAAGATAAAACAAAGCCTTCTTTTAGGAAAGAAGTCATACACATCTGAATAATGCTAAAACAAAGCTAGGAAACAAAAAATACATAGTGACTAAAGAGACATTGGAAGTAGAAAAAATAAAATTCAGTGGGTAAATTCCAGCCCACATCAATTATACAGAACAACTGAGGGTTGCAACTCATGGAGGAAAGAGCTTCAATATTTGTTCTAGGAGTATTGCTAAGACAGAAAGAATTTTGTCTAAACACATCCCTTCAAGGAGCTATTCAACTTTGCAGACTTTGCAGTACAACAGAATGTTCTGCCAGTTTTGAAAAACAGCTTTGTTTTTATTTTTTTTTTTTTAATGTAGAAATAAACCAGCACAGAGAATGCAAGGACAGAAGGCAAAGTAATTGTCCATGTTCACAAAATGACAATCAATCATCCTTAATAATTGTAAAAAGGAAAACAGTGAAGACAGCCAATGGACTTCACTGTGCTTATGGAAGTGCTTATAGAACTTCCTTCTATTGAGAGATTTCTTCTTCTAAGACTCAAATTCTTGTGGAAACGAGTCAGGACAATTAAGCAGTTCTCAGAGRAGCAGTATTCAGTACACAAATACAAATTATCTTAACACAGAAGCTAGTGGGAAGTATGTATAGTAAGAGACCAGCTGGCAATTCACAAATGCTTTGGTGATTCAAAATGTAAGTGTAATAGGAAAAAGGGAACTAGGTCAAATCATCAAGGACAAGTGTAATAGCAGCACATTCATATAGAAAAACAAACACAGAAAGGTCACATCACAAAATGAGAAAAGGGAATGTATGTAAAGAACAAACTCCCACAATTCCATAGATGTACTGTAAGAAGAGTAGTGAGGAAGGAGTTATTCCAATACTCATTGGGAAATGGACAATGCCAAGAAAACAGAAGTGTTGTGTGACTTTCTTTTTTTTTCGCTAAAAGGTCAGCTGCAATCAGATGGCAAGTACAGCATCAGCAGAAAGGGAGCAAGAACAAAAGCAAAAATAGTGAACTACAAGACACAGAATTCACAGAGAAGATAATTTGTTTTAAATTATGACTGGTTATAATCACTTCAACAGGTCCTATACAACCCAGAGTAACCTCAACTGTTATTTCAGAAAAATCATGAAAAATACATGAGAATCCAGGAGCCTGAAATAAAACAATGCCTACATGCTTACTTTTGAAAAGGAACGAAAATATGAAAGGATAGACTAAAGATACAAAGCTAAGCTGACTCGCCAAAAAATTACCAAAACCAAAAAGCTCCACTTGTACAAAATATTTTCTAAGTGACACTATGAAACATAAAAAATATGAAAAAATTGTTTGCCAAATATTTTAGTAATTTATATAAAACTAAGCATAAGTTTTGACTTGGACAGAAAAAAAACAGTCTTCCTGATGAAAGAAAATCTGTAAAAATCCTATACCCTGCTTTCACAAAAGCATGAGAATACCACTGGAAACAGTGTGAAATATGCCACAAAAAAATACGGGCTGCATGAAGTTGCTATGGAATTGGTACAAATAACAGCTGGGAAACCACAGTAAGATACTAGCGTGCTGAGAAAAAAAGATAACATTCTGTGTTGGRTTCTTCCTTTGTCCTTATTCCATTTGGATGATGGAATAAGAAATAGGCTTATCAAGACCAGAAGTGCTGCCAGGCTGCAATAGCCAGGAGGCATACAAAGGAGAAGGCAGAATTCCATTGACAAACTGGAAAAACCATGAAATCACATAAGAGCTTGAGTTGGAAGGGATATTATGGGTTGTCTAATTCCAAATCCCCTGCCACAGTCAGGGACGCCTTCCACTAGACCAGGCTGCCCAGAGCTCCATCCAACCTGGCYTGGAGAAATGGTCCAGTCAAATAAAAGATAATTTAAGCCATTCAGTAGGCAMAYRCTCAGTGTTSTGCAGAAAAACGTTTGTCTTCTTGTGAACATCCCAAGTCTCAGATGCAAGAAATGTCTCAGCTTGCCAAGTAAAACGAAGCTTAAGCATGGGCTCCCAAAGATGATAAAAACAGCCAGCAAWAGAGAAATAATGAAGGACACAAAAAATGAGCATCAAACACCTCGACTTCAGTAAGGCCTTTGACACAGTGTCCCATAAGATCCTCATAGAGAAGCTGTTGATGAAYAGGCTGGATGTGCAGACAGTGAGGTGGACTGAAAACTATCTGAATGGCTTGTCCAGAGGGTGGTGACMAGTGGCACAAAGTCTCATTGAAGGCCAGTGTATGCAGGGGTCAATACTGGGTCACGTCCTATTCAACATCTTCATTAATGRCTTGAAYGCTGGGGCAGGGGGCACCCTGGGCACATTGTTGATGGCACCAAGATGGGAGGAGTGGCTGATACACCAGAGGGTTGTGCTGCCATCCAGAAGGATCTCGCCTGGGCTGGAGAAAAGGTCTGGCAGGAACCTCATATGGTTTAATGAGGAAAACTGCAAAACCCTGCGGTAAAGCCTCAGGGACAATTGGTGACCCTGTATGGGCAGGTCAGCTCAGGTGACCTCAAGGCCCCTCCAACCATTCTGTRATTCTGTAATCAAGATCTCCTCCTGCAAATCATAATCTCTGATCCTTTGTTTTCTTTTGCAGCCTCAAMAAATCAACAGTTATACAGAGAATTATAATATTATCAAAATTCATCAGTGATTAAACTTCAAAGAGAAAGAATTTCAATTAAGAAACATTTTATTTTGTGCTTGTTCCTGGGTCAACGTGCACAAGATTCCTCTATCCCCACCACCCCCTGCCTCAACTGCAGAAATCTCAGTAAACAATGCTGGCAAAAGACATTCTTCAGCAATGCCCTCAATTTTTTTATTTTAAATAGTGATTTGAAAATRTAAAGCACTGCATAAGTGCTTATTATGAGATACACCCATGACAACAGCAGTAATCAGTCTAACAACTGATATAACATATTCCTCTAATATGGCGCTGCTTCCCACCAGAAAAAWCTTGTGTGAGAAAATGAAACTGATYTTTCAYTGGCACCTGTGCCTGRTTGAAAMTGGTAYACCATATTGTGAGTGGGCATTTTGCCACTCTAACAGATGGACAAAACTGTAAGCATGCCAAAGAAATAGAGTACTTGCTTATTTTTTCTGAAGCTGGAAAAATATAGTATTTCTACACAAACCCAAAAAGCGTTGCTCAGATGGTCCCTCCTTAGGAGTACATGAAGTCTCAAAGTTGAGGAGATTCAATAAAATACTCATGTAAACCATAAACAAGCCATGAGAGCTCCTCCATTTAGACTGCTAGACTTGAGTGTAAGCATTTCTAGAGTGAGGATGCATATACAAAGTGTTTCACAGTGTAGAATTGACTGATTCTAAATTTACAAGCAACACATTGACGA